CGTGGCAAAGGAGCAGAGAGACCAAAGGAAGGACACACTTAGAGAAGAGCAGCGCAGGAAGAAGGACTGTCCTGGGCTGTTGGCACAAAGGACCGGGTCCTAGAGTCACAGTCCAGCGCTCCCTGGTGGAAGTAGGGACCACAAGGGGCCTCACTAACTTAGACCACAGCAAAGTTGCTGCCATTGCCTCAGACACCAAAGCAAACACAGGGGAGGAAAACCCTCTCTTCATCTTGCCTTCCCTCCCCAAAGGCCAAAATACACTGCCTGAAAATCTGGACCATGATCCGGAGTCACCCTCTGATGATCAGAGCCTCCCCAGTGGGCAGGAAAGAACAGAGCTGGGGCGGGCAAGGCTAGAAAGGCCGGGAGCCATGTTCATAAAGCCTGTTGTGTTTATAAACAAACAAGCAACATTGTCTCTGATGGTGGAGCCTAGTGACACTAAATAACCTCTAACAGTTCAAATGGCCTCTTAGAACATAAATAAGCAAGAGGAAAGAAAAAGAGGCCAAAGAAATTTAATAAGCCAAATTCAAGTCTGATAAGTTAAGCATTTCTGATGTGGTATTCTAGATGGGTGGATGCCTTTGACATAAAACAGATGATAGCATGATATTTTGTTTAAAGTTGAAACAGAAGGTGGGAGTCTGGCCCGCTCATCCTCACTCCACTGCCTCTGAATACCAACAGGTATACTGAGAACATTAGGAAGATAAACCAAACCTCAGGTTTAAACCCTTCCTTCCTGAAACTAGACTGAAATTTTCAAGCCATTGAATGTCCTAAAAAGGTGTCAAATTAAACCTTAGATACCACATACCACCCGAGGTATGCAAATGTATAAAGAAGGGGCTCTGAAGATCAATTGTCTGTGAACGTGCTATCCTAATGTAACATATTAACTCCCAAGAAAGAGACACCAAATAGTTAGTTCAAGAGCAGACACAATATTGCAACTTTCAATTCAAAAATTATCATTTCTTGGGGTGCTAGGGAAATGGCTCAGTGCCTAAGAATACCTGTGAATATCTGTTCTTACAGAGGATCTGAGTTCAATTCCACATGGGCAGCTTACAACTGTCTGTAAATCCAGTGAGGAGGACCAGATGCCCCTTTCTGGCCTCCAGAGGCACCAAGCATACACGTGGTACATATACATACATGTAGGCAAAACACTCATACACATAAAATAAAAATGAATAATTTTTAAGTTCTCCTTTCGGAGCTGGGACTGTGCCTACAACAGAAGAGTGTTGGCCTAGCTTACACACGGCCACAGCTCCGTCTCCCAGCATTGCCGAAACCCAGAATGAGGAAATACACACCCAGCACTGGGGAAGCAGAGGCAGAAGGGTAGGATTTTCATCCTTTGCTGCATGTTAAGTTTGAAGTCATCCTGAAATACATGAGACGTTGTCTCAAAATAAAAGGAGGGGGTGGGAGTTACCATTTCTTGCTTTTAAAAAAGATTATTATACTTTTTGCATACACATAAAAGGCAAAAGTATGCATACTGTTATTCTCCTGAAGAACTGCATTCCCCAGGAGACCCCTATGCGCAGGAGCAGAGTGAAGCTTGGTCCGCCTGACTCAAAAGACTTCATTTCCCAAAATTACTGGTACCCACAATCCAACAGGGACACAGAACGCAGCGTCAGATGCACGCTTACGCTGGATTGGTCTCTAAAAAGGCAGAACCGCGGTACCCCCTCCTCTTTTTCCCCCTTCCCGCTTCCAGCCTGCACCGCCCTCACGCCCCTTTCCTATAATAAAGCTACACGTGGGTTTGTTTGTACCTCGTGGTCTATTTCGTCTTCCGCAGAAAGAACAACACATACCATATGCATGCCTGGTGCCCACAGAGTCCAGAAGGTACAAGATCTCCTGGAATTAGTTACAGATGGCTCTGAACTGCCAGATGTGGGTTCTGGGAACTGAACCTGGGTTCTCTGCAAGAACAGCAGATACTCTTAACCATGGAGACATCCCTTTTGCCGCCTTGTTTTTCTTAAACTGCCTCTTGATTCAATGAAGTGTTACTTAGCACATGGGGTTTATTATTTTACAAATGGAGAAACCTGGACCCAAAAGAAGTGTATGACTCCTTGTCCAAGATCACACAGTCATTTAAAGGGAAAAACCAAGTTTAAAGGCTGATTCCGAACTCTAAGCCAGTGCTCCTTCTGTTTTAATAATCAAATATCGCCAAGAGGAGACAAGAACAAGAGCACCAACTGCTGCCAGCACTTGAGTATGAGGCAATACCACGCTGCCTTCCAACGCATCTCTTGGGTTTCACCAAACTAACCTGTGTTGCAAGCTGGCTTCAGATCACAGGTCAATCTGTAACAGGCTGCACTTTGATGACACCAATGTGTGCGTGAGAAGACCTCTAACTCTGGCCAACTCTAGCTCTCATTTGGAATTAAGGCGTGCTGTTTTTCAGACGCTATATTTCAAGCTTGAATTCTCCATCTTCGCTTGGCCTCTCATCATGGGCTCTCCTGGGTTCGGAGCACACCTCTGCCAAGCTCATTGCTCTTCCTTGCTGCAGCCGTGCACCGCCCTTCCTTGACCCCACACACCCAGGTGCTGGCAGCTTTTCATCTCCAGTGGCCAGGTTGGGTTCAGCAATCCACCCTTCCTGGAACTGAGTTCTCATTCACACCCACCCCTGCCACCTCTCCAGGACTGCCAGCTCTGGCTTATCACACCAGCTCACTTCTAAGAAGCAGTTTGAAGATGTGGCTTCCCATTGTCTAGAGAACCAAGACAGCGTTAAATCATTTCCTTCGGAAAATGTACACTATTTGATTCTGCATGTTACCTTTATAGCAAAAGAATAATAAAGACTCAGAGAAGTTAAATGATTTATAGAAATACTTTGAATAAGAAATATGCACAGATTGAGGGCTTTCTTCCAAGTATTTCTCTCTTCTTTTTAGCATATGCTTTTATTGATTGTCAACAGGAAGGTTTGAATAAGCTGAGAAGTAAATCCAGCAAAAGTCTCTTTGTGATGGACACCATTTTTCACACCTGAACATACATAGTGGAATCATTTCTACCTAATTTTATGAATTGCATCAAATCATGATGAGATATTACCTTTAAGTTCCAAATCTTAGTTTCGAATAACTCATGTATTTGTCCAACAAATATTTGAACCCTTGCTGTCAGCCAGCTCGCTGGGTCTGGAAGATTGTTTGTACAGAAGTCAGGCCAGTTCTACCCCTGCAGAGCTCAGAATCCACTGCTCTTCATAGCTGCGTGATGCTTTCTGTGTTCCTAAAGATCCAGAGCTGATTTTTAAGCTCTGTGTTTTTTATTGAAAATGTTTGGTCATTTCACTGACCGTAAACAGAGATGGCAGAAAACATGGAAGCAGGCATTAATCCATTTCTGTACCATTAAGGCATATCAAACTGTAGGCCAATGGTTCAAATGCCAAGAATAATTGAACTGTTGGATACTTTTACTTTATATTTAGAGATAATTTTAAACTTATGGAAAACTCAAAACATGCCCCTCGACCCATCACTCGGTTTGTCAGTCACTCCCGTGTATCCTGTTTGCTTAATTGTTTGGCTGCCACCAAGCACGGAACCTTGGTAAGCTGTTTGAGAGCACACTGCACACACAGGGCCTCCTCTGAAACGTACATTTATGTTTAAGGAAAACTTAAGTGTGTTTCTTAAGGACTGAGAGCCCCTTAGGTAACTTAGACAGTCTGCTCTTCACTAAATTTATTATCAATACATTTACCCGATCTACTATCTACATTCTTCTGTTTCATTTTTCCAGCTACCCCATCTTCTCTCTCTCCCCTCTCTCTTTTTTTTTCCTCTCCTCCCCTTCTCTCCCTCCTTCCTCTCCCTGCCCCTTCTCTCTTGGAATCTTGGCCCCCCTGATCCTCTTGACAGCCCCTCTTTCCCCAGAGCAGGGTATTTCCAGGATCTGCCACCGCTCTTGACTCCCTGGAGTCTGGAGGACTCTCACACCCTTGGCTTATCTTTCATGACAGTGCATTTTTGAAGGGTAGCCCTGCCGCTCCAATTTTCAGTAGAGCTGTCCTCAGGGGAAGCTCATCCTTGTGAATTTAATATTCATCTTTTCCTTGATGGTTCACAATTCGTTACTGGACTTTATTGTTTAGATATTCAGTTTGTCCCAGACTCGATCATGGAGCCCTTGGTTTCTCCCCACTGTGCCCTAATGTGCTCCACTTTTATAACAACATTGGCAGTGTGGCACACGTATGCTGTACCAGTACCACTAATGCTGAAACCAGCCTCTTCTCTGAGGACTCCTGGATCCCTGAGGAGGGTGCTGAAGAACAGAACTGTGTTTATGGCTTTGCCTTTGGGCCCTTCCAACAGCCAATGCCCAACAATTTCAGGCAGGAATGAACTAATTGGAGCATTTCCATCAGAGATGAACTTTCAGAAGGTCAGTTTTATCTAAACCACAGTTATAAAACAGGATTCTGTTTCTGCCCTGGAACAAAGAGTACCAGAGTTCAAGCCAACGGGAGGAAATCAATACAGATGCAGTGAAAGGGTTGATGAGTCACCGTGTGAAGGATGTCTCTCCATACACAGAGCTGCTGGGACCCAGGGGCCATCAGGACAAGGGTTTCAAAGTTGAAGCCCAGCCCAGCTGACTTGGTTCTCATCTCTCACCTCAGTCTGGGCAGTAAGACACTAGATTGTTATGTCCTGTCTGGGACACCTGTGGAACCTTGTCTTTGTGTGGATAAAGTAAAATCAGTGACACTTCAGAATACCCCACAGCCTGGGCACCTCCCTAAGGACAACTCTGTTGTAGTTCTGGTACTGAAAGGACAAGCCTAGCTGTTCTGAAACTTGCTCTATAGACAAGACTGGTCTTGAACTCAGAGATCCAACTGCCTCTGCCATCCAAGTGCAATATTTGTTCTTTTTTTTTTTTTTTTTGATGTTCTGTCCTTTTTGGAGAACCTGGGCAGTATTATGGGACTTTCTACTGGCACTCCGCTCTTGTGAGGACCATTTAACACAAGAGAAAGTATCCACCAACTCAGAGAGTGGCAGAGGTGACTCAGCAATAACTAAAGGAGGAAGGACAGACTCCCAGGTGCCATTTTAGTGGGTGGGGTGCAGAGGTCGGAAGGAAAGTGAGAAGGAAAGAGAGAAAGGCAGACTGCATTTCTAATCAAGGGAAGCACTGTTGGGACTGGAACATGAAGTCATCTCACCAGGGAGTAGGTAGGCTGAGCACTGACCAATGAGATCGCTCTGTTTGTCACAGGAAAACCAATGACCTGTTTTCCAAACTTGTGGAAGCTGATTACAGAGTGTCTGCTCTGGGGCATTCCCTTCGATCAACTGTGCTTTGGGGGACGCTCATACGGCCAGAGGTTACCCACAGTTTCATTAGTCCTGCCACGGACAAATACTTAGCTCGTTTTATAGTCTTTCAAATGAAACAAACACAGCAACCTAAGATGCAGAGTAGCAAGTGACAATGTAAGATCCGGAGCCCTGGAGCCAGGCGGCAACACCTGTTGCCTGTCAGATGTCGGCAGGTCACTTGGCCATTCTGAAATGAGGCAGCACACAGGAACCTGACCAATAAATTGAACCCTTTCACTGATACAGGATTAACCCTTCTATCAAAGGTCTGCAGGGTAGTGCAGGAAACAGGATCCAATAAATAACCACCGCATTGATAAGAAACAGCAATAGAAACTCTAAGGCAGTAATGCTTCATGAATGCTCCTGCCAGTCAGTCCAGTAAATGCATGGGTTCCCTGAGCTAGACTTGGGAGCAATCGTGACTTTGGCCTGCCACTGGTACCCTATCTACGGTGAGTGGATATGTACTCATTCATACCATCATTCGTCAGAGCGAAAGAACAAACCATGCCTTTGAACTGGGTTGCGTTAGAATGTTTTACTTTTAAAGCAGATGAGTTGCTGAATTGAGCTTCAAAAAATTCGTTGAACTGATGTTGGCTTGGAAGCGGGGTGAGATTCCTAACAATATCTGAAATGGCTCTAAACGCCATTTTGTGTTACACTGTCGGGTGAATGCCTCCCGGGAAGGCATTAACACACATCCACTTACCACAGATACAGTACAGGGACAGAACAAAGTCCTGATTCAATTCCAGCCTAGCTTAGGGAACCCATGTGTTTACTGGACAGACTGACAGGAGCATCCCTGAAGGATTACCATCTTAGGGTTTCTATTGTGCTGAGGAGACACCATGACCACAACAGCTCGCATAAGGACACATTCAGTTGAGGCGTTGGCTTATTATCATCAGGGCTCAGGGAGCATGGCAGCATGCAGGCAGGCATGGTGCTAGAGAAGGAGCTAAGAACCCTACATCTTGCAGACAGCAGGCAGTAGACAGAGACACTGGGCAGTATTTTGAGCATGTATGAAGCTTCAAAGCTCACCTCCACAGTGAGACTTTTCCCCCAACAAGACCACACCTACTCCAATAAGATCACATCTTCTAATAGTGCCTCTCCAGAAGTAATGCCACAGTTACTTATGGCAGATGGACGATCCCCAAACAGTCTCATCACTGAAAAGTCTCACCCAGACATGGACAACTTCTGTGCACCTGCATGGATGGGGTCCACTCCCTTAGTTAGCCTTCTACATGCTACATACTTTGGCCTTTCCTGAGATTGGCTACAGGTGGGTCAGAATTACATACAGCTGGGAGGATGTATAGGCGGGAATCGAGTCTCCTAGGAGGGACTATCAAGAGGGCAGATCCTGAGAGTCTCTTACGTGTAGTGATTAAGACATTGCTAGCTGATACACTCAGAAGACAGCATGGCATCACACTTATGCAGATGTACCATCATAGAATCAAACCACTGGTCAGCTCTGAAAATGTTCATAGTGCTCCATGTCCTACAGTGTCCACGGTCAGCCAAGATTTAATTCTTTATGTAAAAATAAACAGATATCCATCTCACCAACATGCAAGTTTCTTTTCACCTTTAATAAATGATGAATTATATGTATACCAAAGAATTGTTTTAAAATAAATTTCTTTGTTGAATATGATCAGTCAATGTTTGATTTATAGCACTACTTTTATAACTATATGCCGACATAAAACTTTCTCAACTCATGAGTCACAAGCAGACAAAGTTTACGAAGCCAATTGCTAGAAAAAGCCAAAGGCCTGAACCACCATGGTTGAGAAGTTGAAATCCCAATTCAGGAAGCAGGGTTGTGAGGAGATCAGCAAAGCCACGGGGCAAGCTGGGGTCTTCGGGCTTCCAAGGCTCCTTCCCAACCTTAAATGTGCACAGTCTCAAAGTCGGGACCATAAAGTAGTTGGTAATATGCTTGTCATGCACAGGAACCTGAGCTACATTCCCAGGATCCAGGCTTTTAAGAAAAGCCAGGTGAAGGGCTGGAGAGATGGCTCAATGTTGCCCTTGCAAAGGACCTGGGTCCCATTCCCCACACCTACATCAGGTGACTCACAACTGCCGGCAACTCCAGTTCCACAGGCACCTGACTCCTCTGGCCTTCTTAAGCCACCTGAACTCACATGTGCAAATCCACACACATACACATCATTAAAAACACTAAAAGTAAATTTTGCAAATAAAGAGGACAGACACAGACACCTGTATCCCCAGCACTGGGGAGAAAACAG